TAGAAAAAAATAACTATTGGGTAAGTTTTTTTTTTAAATATATATATTTTTGGTTGTTCTTTTTTCTCCTCCTCCATATTTTTCTTAGTTGGTTTGGATATGTTATTGTTACTGGAATGAAGATAAAATTTTAAGTGTTTATTGAAATGTCTATTGAAATGTTGGGCAACAATGAATATGATTTGTTGTGTTCTGTACTACATTCTGCTATGTGTGTTCTTATTAACTGATGTTGCCTAATGGATGCCAATCTGTGTATCACTTGCATGTTCATCTGCTCGGGACGCCAAATGAACTGGCTGCCTAGCTAAATTCTGGAGCCAAGATAGATATATTGCCCACTTTCGATCTTTTGAATCCGTTCGTGCACTTTTTCAGAAGCTTAATTCATGTAAACTCGAATAAGCAATTAGCAGGCATAATAACCTTGGTTTTTTTAACTTCTTGATTGTTATATTTTCTGATTGTGTTATTGGGAATCTTGACTTGCTTTATTAAGTTGGTGAGTTTACTTAAANAGCATGGAATTTGTGGCAGAATTATGGGAAGTCAATGGGATTTGGGGTTAGAATACATTATCGCAACAAAAGCCAAAAGGATGGAGCATATAATAATGCGGTTTTCGTTTGCCGTAAAGAGGGTAAAAGAGCTGAAGACAAAAGAAGGGTAGGAGTTGTGCATCGATGGGAAGAAAGAACATCATGCAAGGCTAAATTAAATGTAGTTTTGGAGAGGTCGAGTGGTAAATACAAGATCAAAGAATTTGTTCGAGAACATAATCATGAACTTGAGCCTCCAGAGACGAGCCACATGTTAAGATCCCATAGGCAATTGAGCCAGGCTGCCGCTGCCGCGATTGATTTGGCACATGATGCAGGACTCACCCCAAAAGCAACACACAACTTGAGGATTAGAGAAGCAGGGGGTCAGGATAAGCTCGGATACATAATGGAAGATCAAAAGACGTATTTGCGGTCGAAAAGAGAAAAACACATGGTGTACGGAGAGTTGGGAGGTATAATAAGATACTTTGAGCAGAGAAAAGGTAAAGACCCTTCATTTTATTACTCAATGCAATTTGACAGTGACGAACTAGTCACTAATATATTTTGGGCTGATTCTAGAATGATTGTTGATTATGGTGATTTTGGTGATGTAATTACATTTGACACAACCTATGGAACAAACAAAGAATTGAGGCCCTTGGGTGTATTTACGGGATTTAATCATCATAGGCAGATGGTCATTTTTGGGAGTGCACTTTTATACGATGAGACTGCTGATTCATTTGCTTGGCTTTTTCAAACTTTTTTAAATGCTCATGGAGGTAAAGAGCCTCAAACCATTTTTACGGATCAAGATGCGGCTATGGCGAATGCTTTGGCAAAAGTATTTAAAAATACACGACATGGGCTATGCACGTGGCATTTGAATCAAAATGGGATCAAACATTTGGGTTGGCGTATGAAAGATGATTCTTCTTTTTTAACGGAGTTCAAGAGGTGCATGTTTGAATATCTGGAAGAGGATGATTTTGAAAGGGAGTGGAAAAATTTACTTGATCGATATGATTTGCACAATAATGAATGGTTATCCCGTACGTACGACTTAAAGGAAAAATGGGCCAAATGTTATATGAAGTATGCATTTACCTTGGGAATAAGAAGCACACAATTGAGTGAAAGCTTGAATAGTGACTTGAAGTCCTACTTGAAATGTGATTTGAATATTTCCGATTTTTTTAAACAGTTTGATAGGGTTGTCGATGAAAAAAGAGAACGAGAGCTTAAAGCCGACTTTGATGCGAGACAAAAGTTGCCTCCATTGGAATCTTATGATTCTTTGTTGTTGATGCAAGTTTCACAGTTGTACACTCCCGAAATATTTACACTTTTCCATATCGAACTTCGTGCTGCTTTAAGAGTGAAAATAGAAAGAAAAGATGACACCCGAAGTCCACATGAATACGTGGTTTGCCTTCATGGTTCAAGAGAGAAAGAGATGAAGGTACTCTTTGATCCTACACAAGATTGGGTTGTTTGTAGTTGTAGAAAGTTTGAAATTATGGGAATATTGTGTTGTCATATCTTGAAAGTATTTATTGTTCAAGACGTAATGTGCATTCCACAAAAGTACATATTGGCCCGGTGGACAAAAGGAGTGAAAAGTGCCCAAAACTTGTATAAAGAAAATTCTAATGGTGTGGAGAATGTTATGGAATGGGTTCAAAGGCTTCAATCTCAACTCTTACGGATGACGCTTCAAGCTTCCACCCATGAAGTAACACGCAATTGCATGGAGAAAATGGTGAGTGAATGTAATAAGCAAATTTTTGCTTTTACAACGAAAAACGAGAGAGCAAATGAAGAAGTTCCTACATTCAACATAGAGGACAAACTTGAAAATATGAAAGGTTTGAAGAAAAGAGACGGGAGAAGAAGAACAAAACGGCCAAAGGGTTGGGTCGAAAAGTTTTCTAGGAACTCAAAAAAATCAAATTCATCAAACGAGGTAATCATTATTTTAGTTTGTGTTTGATAGATAGCATTAATAAAATATTTCTTTTTATATATATTTTTTTACTTTTTTCTTCTGTCATGAAGCCTTGTCCGTCGATTATCGGTTGACAAGAAAACATGAATTCTAGAGTTGAGATGCACCATCTACAAGAATATGTGAAAGATGGTGTCGCTCTCGCTTCATCGAACTCGGTGGTATCCCAAATCTATAACGGTACATCTTTATAAAAAAAAATAGTTACAATTATTCAATAACAAATTTTATTATTCATTTGTCATGTATTTATTAAATTTCAGGCATTCCAAGAAACTAAGATTGGGGCTATCGAGGCTACTTCAAGAGAAATGCAAGACAATTATAAATTATTTTTCAGAATTGTAATGTATTATTTTTGTGCTTGTCAATGGTCATCCTCTTGACAGACCAGTCGTCATTATTTTAGCTAATAATTTTCTTGGAAAAATTGGTGAATATTTCTGTGATGTGTTGGATTTAAGTTAGTACCGTACACTAAGTTTAAGTTATTTATGTTTTCTCTTAGTTTTGTTGTGGTCTATATGATGTATTATTATCAACTTGTCAGCATTAGTATACATCATGGTCACAATTGGGATGATATGCTTGGTATGGTCAACAAGTACATTCAGATTCTTGAAAAGTAATTAAGGTCATTTTCTTCATCAAATTTTTATGTAATTTATTTATTTTTTACTTTGCCCCATATTTATCTAGAACTTGAAGTGAAGCATATCTCAAACTGTTGATTTTAGTTGTTTACAATCTAATTTACATCTAGTCGGCAAATTTACATTTTTATTTTTCTTCTCCCTAATATTTTATTAAATTATCTTACATTCATGATTTTGAGTACAATAATAATTATATGCTGTAATGGACCTTATACCTATTATCTAATTACGAACAGATGAAGTTAGATTCAGGGGAAAAGTTTAAACTGAGACATGCGTTTGTGAGTTTCTCCCAGCACATGCATTCTGTTTGAACATTTACATTTTTGTTATTCATTATATATAATGTATTTGTATAAAATAACGTATGTGATGTATTAAGTCCCAGCACGAGTTTCTCTTGTATGTGATGTATTAAGTACTCTGTATTAATTAGCAGTTCACGTGATTGATGATTTTGATGGCATTTTATTATTTTATTTCTTATTCATCCTAGCCCTTAGATTGTATTTTACTTTTTTTATGATCAATGGTTGAAAATTAATTGTAGGGGCTGCTGTTAGTTAGCCACAGCAGCCCCCCCTTACCCATAAACAAGACGCATCACCATCCAATTTGTGCATTTCACATCTCCGCCGCCAAGGCTCTGAGACTACAGATCAAATTCAATAATCCACGGCCACCAAAGTCGCAGCGAGCCCACCATCTTAGCCTGTGGCGTCCACCATCTTTGTCGCCAAGTCCATGAAATCGCAGACCGGAATTAGAAATCCACGGCCACCAGCAATGCAGCGGGCTCACTGCTTGGAGGATCTTCGAATCACTTGGCCTACTCGAGGATGGCACTTTTCTCTATCGATTCAAAGAAGAACCGATTGGAACAGTCGGAGCAGACCTCAGTGCGGGTTCACAGAACAGGACTTTGTGAAATCTATTTTTATTCTTCAGAAATTTGGAAATTTTGTGTGCTGGGAGAGTTTAGGGACGAAAATTGGGGAAAAAATTATGAAATTAGAAGGGTTTTTTTTAGAAGAAATTAGGATGTTAGTTTGAGATTTGAAAAGCAGAAGAGGGGGAAAAAAAGGAAGGAAGAAATTGGGGATTTTGGTCTGGAGATGAATGAGAAAAAAAAAATGACGTGAAGAAATTTTCGAGACATTTAAGGAAGTTAAAACTTGGTGAGTGATTGCATATACGGCGTCCCACTAATTTGGCCGGATGTGTTATAAACAAATTGAAGGATAATTTGACTAGGCCATGGCATTTTTCAAGGCCAAGACATGTTCAACCAAACACAATAAACACATGCATATAATAACAAATAGTGTGATATCACTCCCATAATGCCCAACCAAACACACCATGAATATAATAGATAACGCAAATTTTTAAAATAGTGTATGTTATAAAACTTTATTATTGTACACATAAAATTAATATTAGATTAAAAAATCCAACAGGAAACACCATTGTTTATAAACCTCAATGTCATAAATTTATCATAAACTCGCTTTTTCCTGAATATACTTGATTGTACATTTGAACTGAAATATAAATTGGACTAGGAATAACATTGGTGCATATTGTGAAAAAAGTGGGAACATTAAAATTTATAAATCTTAAATCATGTTTCAACTTCGGGACATACCAACTGGTAAATTCACTCGCAGCACAAATATTTACTTTCATTTGAAAATATTATACTTTTAAAATACAGCATAAACAAAATAAATCTATATTTAACACTATAAGTATGTATTCTTAATTCACAAACTATAAAAGCCAAGATGTGTAACTGTTAGGCCGCGTAACAGCACCATATTCAAAGGATGTAGATTCATGACGCCATAGCATTCAAACAAGTTCGTAAAATATAGTCAATTGGTATAAAAATGAAGGTATCCATCTCATTAATGAGATTCAAAACCAAATACATAAATACAAGCCCACATATCAATTTAAAGAGATACAATCCACAGGTCAAATGTGTAGATACATACAAAGAATTTTATAACATGAATAAGCAATTTCTAAGGACATAAAAACAAACGGCGAGTTTGTTTTTACTAACAGTTTCGTATGAACTAGTGAACTTGCTCACGTGTATCTCAGCTTGAGCTAGCCCACAAAGAACTGAGCCGAGCTGCAAGTTTTGCGCTCTTGTAGTCATCTCTGAGTTGAATAAACCTGATTTTGTTTGCACCCATTTTAAAATTGCATCACGTAGATGAGTATTAGAAAGTTAAAAAAAATGGCAAATATCTTGAAAAGTACGCATTCTTTCGTGAAGCGGCCAAACCGTTAGGCAGGTCGACCCATCAAACTTTTATTAACAAAAATGCATACTTAAGTCATGAACTGTCATACTTTTGTTTATGTTGTTTTCTAAAGTATGACATTTCAGTACAAAAGTAGGCATATATGTTAAAAATGTATGGTTGCCTAACTGTTAGGTCTGCCTAAGGGTCGTCTGACTGTTTTGTGATGTGGCCTTGAATTTAATCAATTTATGTTTCAGTGCAAATACAAATAAAGTGGTGGTACCTTTGTGCATCTTTCCGGATGCTCGGTGTTCCCTCAAAAAGAGTTGACAGACTTTCGGGAGCAACAATAAAGACATTGGCCAAGCTGTAGCAAAATTACAAGATTAATTCCATATTTTTCCTTTCTTTTTTATCTGCAAGAAAATAATAAGTAATTAAGCTGAGAAATGAATCACTTACATGCCCAACATCTCAAACTTCTCATCCACTGTGGGAGCATTGAAGCTGCGAACAAACTCTCCATACTCTGTTATATCACGCTTAAGCCTCAGCCCTCCACTGAAAATGCCATTAAAGCAAAGCAGCACATATGTAATCAGAAAGTTGCAGGGGGAAGCAAGATTTCACATAAGGTGGACTACAGAATCATACAACTGAACCTAGCATACAATACTTGCAAAACTACCACCGAAATTTGAAAATCATGGAAAACCCAGCCAACCGTAAAAATTACAAAGACCACCCTTTATGTTACATCAATCTTAACAGCTTGAAGCAATGGATATCAATTTGACGCAATTTGTGATCTGCTGAGCCAGATTCAGTGTGAACAAAGAACCTTGGGCTAGATATTTCACTGAAGACTCACACTGTCACACATGCACCTAAAATGATGATATATGTGCACCCTAAATATATATTCTAGTGCTGAATATTAAAGATGAGCATAAGACTATAATGATATTTAACATTCTTGCCCAGACTCAGTAATGTAGGATGAAGCTCGGGACTAGCAATCAAAACATGCGACAAAAATTACCTTGGATTGAAGGTGAACTTCTGCCAATGATTCAACAGCCCCTTGTGCAAGCGGTTTCCCTGAAACAGCCAATTGTTAAGTCATAAATTTATGTTGAAAATTTTCCTAATGTGCAGCTTACACAGAATTTCTATTCCCAGTATCTGGCTTTACTTTACTAACAGATTGGTCCACAAAGCTTCACATGTGGATCAGGTTATGCCTCAGATAAACCATTGAGAGAATTTCAGGCTTGGACATCAAACATTCACCCACGTAAAAAATATGCTAACTGAACAACGATACAGGCAATAACATTTTAACGAAATATTTCCATATACATAAGTCCATTAAATATGCTTGCAATTAATATTTGATGTGTCAAAGTCAACGAAGATATTTTTCTTTATTTATTCCCTTTCAAGCTTAAATTCCTGGGGTGATAATATACAGCACCTGAAAGCCATGGCATCAACCCAAACCTATACAGCTTCAAAGAAGATATAAATACCAGTTCAGTCAGGAATGCTTGTTTGTTAAGACCTTCAAGAGCTGTGAATGCAGACTCAAGCACCCGTGATAGATAAGCAACAACCCTGGTATTAGAAGGAGATGAGCAAGTGCGATATAATTAGGTGTCTATATGAGGTATTTGAAGAACAAAGAGATAAAGAAATAAAAGGATTAAAAGAACCCAGAATGGAAATCCAGAAATGCTTTCCACATAAAGACTCATGACACATGCCAGAAAAAAAAACAGACTCCGGTTCGGCTGACTTTATTGCCGATTCAGCAACTTTGATGAATGACATTTAGCCTGGCTAATACTCTTCTCTTCCTCCGATAGATGTTGCCAAAGTACTCTTACCAAAATCTCGATTTGTTCATTTTGTTCAACAATCTTCAAACAATGATTAAACATGACTAAGGTTTCACACCTTGTGCAGGCATTCGTTGGTCGGTGATCAGGAGCCATGCCGTCATCAGGAGACCGATAATCTGTTGCTTTTTGTTCAGCTGATAGTAAACGTTCAACCTTCAAGAGTTTCAAGGATCAACAAACTCAAACATCCATGTAAATGAAAAAGGATTTGTGAATTCAAGCATGGCCTCAGAATCAGGAAGAAAGCTTGATTACTAACCTCGGCCATCACTGTTTCAATGCACTGCTGAAGCCCCTTGTAAGCAGCACCTTCTGCACTGGACATTGCTGTCGCCATTTCTTCACAGGAAGCAGCATGCGCACCATCCACAGGTAGTAGAAGTCGGGAAATAGAGTTCGCAAAGTACTGCAGAAGGCAGTTTTAATACTTCAGTGAATTTTATCGTGATTTTGGCTAGAAACACCAGCAACTATAACCATCAAGAAAAAATGACGTACTTGCTGGACAATAGCCACACTACTCCCACAACGCTGTACAGCAACCATGAAGGATCTAAAACTGCTTTCACCAGCTGCGGCAGCAGCTTCTGCCTGGTTAACAAAGGATCAACCAACACCACTCGGTAACTAATTTCAGATTGACGTTTATCGTTCTCATACCCTTCTTAACTAACAAAATTAGAAAGTAGCGCAGGTAAATTATAAAGAAAAGAAATAAGCTGTGGAGAAATTACAGCTGAAGCAGCAGCAGCTGCAACTCTTCGACTCATACTGGTTCCCAAGACAAACCGTTCCCTCAATGCAGCAGCTTCGGTCAAGCTATCGCGAGCTCGTTCAAGTCCTTCTGTAATATATAGACTGACCTAAAATTGTAATGGAAATGAAATGAACAAATATAGTTATCATACAAAAATATTGAAAAAGAAAAAGGTGCTCAGTATATGGAGAAGAATGCGACTCCACCTGGTCCAAGAGGCAAGTGAAAACAGCCCGCACGTTGGCAGCAAGTGTGGCAGGCTGCACAATGACAAGGAAATATCCATTAAGTTAAGAGTGTATAAAATTAACTGCATACTAAAGCTAACAAGAATACTGGAAATCATAACACTTCAACAGAAAATCTGTATTTTCGTTTCTAAAACAAAAGAGTGCAAAGCAACATAATTGGAATATTTTGACCAACATAATGATAAATAGGGGTCTCTACTGGATATCAATTTTCCTTAGTCATCAAATGAAACTAAAGCTAACAGAAAAGGGAATGAATACAGATACAGAGCCTATGCAAACAATGAAGACATACAACCTCTCAGAGGAGAATGATCTAATTGGATCGTCAGTGACGCTGATGCAGATGCCAAACATGAGCCGGATACATCCACTCAATTATCAGACAAAAATGCAAGAAGCACAAAAAAAGAAGCCCCAGCAAAAGATTTAGGCCAACATAACTCACCACCATGTCAGAAAAAATTAAGTAAGCAAATAAGCAAACACAGAAAACAAGCAAAAACTAAGTCATGTCATTTGTGGTACCAGTAACCAACACTAATTCTATCACGGTAAAATCTTATTCTAGACAACCATAATACAAGCCAGATAAAATTAGTTTGAAAATATGTCATCCTCGTCAGCTTTTAATTACTGACCCACTCAAAGTTAACAGTTAATTTGGCTAAGTTTGTTATAGCAACCATCAAAACAACATACCCAATGCAGAAGGCATACATACCTGTGATGAAAACAAAGTGGACCTTGATATAGCTTCTTCATTCCAGCGTACAAATTCAGTCACAACAGTCACAGATATCTGCTGCTGGGATGATGTCATGGAAGCTCCTTTTGCACGTCCTATGCTTCCAGTAGAGTCAGACGACTGCTGACTTTCAGCCCGCAGTTCATCCATCTGGTTAACAAAAACAAGTTTTTTGATTTTCAAGAAAGTGTACATGAAGGCAAACCTTTTGTTGATTATTCAATTGAAGGTTAGGATTGAGAAATGTTGTTGAATATTCAGGGCAAACCTTTGATTTATACAGTTGCCTGAGAGAAGCTTGCTCATATTCTATATATATATCTTTGTGTGGAAGAAACAGAGACTCTGTTAAGCCTGAACAACAGAATAATATCATTTACTCAAATGCCTCTGCAAATCATTGTAGTAACATATACTCCTGTTTGAAAAACATAAAATATCTCCAAATGAGCTGTGATCCACATGAAGCCAAATAAAACTTCGAATGTCCGTTATTGCAGTTTCCTTCATCAAAATATCTTAAAATGGTTCACGGAGATGCTTTAGGCCGCATTGGCCTTGACCTACATTTCTAAGTACTGTCACACGTCATATTCCCCTGGCTTTCTAGATTGAAAATATGACTAACAAAATAAGAATAATTAGGGAATTAAACAAAATCGGTATTAAACACCATATAGATAAACTGAATTTATGATACATCAGGATAGCAACTATTTGCGCATCAGATATGCTAAACAAAAAAAAGAGAATTACAATAAATTAGTTCCCAAGACATTGAAGCCATTTGACTCACAGAAGAAGAAACAACTCTCATATTAGTACCTTCAACATCCAAGTCGCCGCACCCCACACTGCGAAGATCTTTAGCAAGATCCTGTGTCTTCTCATATGCCACTGCCAACATTCTAAGATACTGAAAATAAATGATATCTTAATTAACCCCTATTGATGCAAAATATGGGATTCATAAATTTAGTTAGAAGGTACAGATGGAGCTTACTAAAATAAGTCCACCTTCTTCCATGGGGGGTGGATTAAGCAGAGTCGGTTTTACCAATAACTTCTCAAGAAGTTTAGGAACACGGTCTTCCAGAACCCGCTGCATATAGGAACATAATTTCAAAATCAAAACAGGTAAATAATACCAGTTAAAAACCCACAATTTAAACTTTCCGTGAATTTG